CCCCCCCTACTGTTGACTATTTACAGTTTTATGTCCCACTATAACTGTTTTTTAGAATATCTCAGAACATCCATGCCATGCCACGCCATGCCATTACTGTTCTTCTCCCACAGAAAAAGTAATGTTTGGCCCCTAATTCTCACCTTTACAAGCATCAACTAGTGCAGCAAGAGTCCTCAGTCTCATCAAAGGGTCGTATGTCCACACCATCAGTCGACGGAGGGTCAAACTTCCACTAGCACCCTCCCCCACAAACCCTGCATCACCCACCTGGTGCTGCCCTTCAAGAACAGCCAGCAATCTGTAGTATTCAGTGAGTTCTTGCTGTAATGCAGCGCAGAAGCTCTGTCCAACCAACCCCATGGCTTTGTCACCTGCATGGGCATCTAGATACTTGCGAATCTTGCGGAATAGCCAGCCAAGCTCAGCTAACTTGTTTACAAGATCCCTGACAGCTTTTGGAACTCCCAGTTTTGAATCAATGCGGTATGCATCATTAGTTTGGTCAAGCTTGATCACTTTTCCTTCAATTCCTTGAAAGATGTAGATTATCTCTCGAAGAAGGTTAGCTTCCGATACTTCATGCGATGCTGAGAAAAGAAAAGTATTGTTTTTCCATTTAAGGGTCAGCAAGTACAAAAAAATTGACCCAAATATAACAGGAAGGGGTTTGTATTTATGTATATACGAATATTTATACAGGGTAGCCCAGTTTAGCAGATAGCTAGTTTAAATGGGGCCCTGTGAACATCCACCCATCCCACCCCAGGGGAAAACATCCACCACACAGTAATCTCGTGCGTGGGAAATTAACGTCTTCTACCCCTAACCCCGCAGGAGACAGGGCCCATGGTTTATTCGTCCTTATCTGTGAAGACTAGAATATCTATCCATTTCTTGATATTATGGGAAACTAACGTCTCTTACCCCTAACCCTGCAGGAGACGGGCCTACGGTTTATTCGTCCTTATCCGAGAAGATTAGAATATCTATCCATTTCTTGATGATAGAGAGGTAGCAAATTCTCCTCACTTATTTTAAGACCATGAGTATCGGTCCGACCGGGGCTGGAACCCACAACACAATCCGGCGCTCTAACCACTTGAGCTAACC